AGCTATACATAAATCATCATCAATGATTGTTGGAGAATTTGATTATGAAACATTATTTTTTTCTAAATCAACATTTACAGCTGCAGCATTTTTATTTATACTATTTATTGTTATAATGACTATTGTTTTTATGAATCTTTTATTAGGAATAACAGTTGGTGATATAAAAAGTTCAATGGAAAATGCACGAGCTAAAGCAAGTAAATAAAATTTTAATCGGTTTTTTTTTCTTAAAATTATTTCTAGATGCTTATTGGATTCGTGAACTTATTTATATTGAATCAACACTACCAAGTAAAACATGGTTAAAATTTAATACAATCGAATATGAAAGTATTGATCATTATTTAGACGATATAATTAAAAATAATAAAGATCAACAAGATGAAAATGAATCTTTAATAAATCAATCATATGGAAGTGAATTTAGAAAATTATACGATATTCTTGATATGTTATGTACACAAGCAAAACAAATTTTAGATTATGAAATTAATTTAGAACAAATGCTTGAACCATTATTAGCAATAAGAAAAAGTCGAGATTTAAGTGGATCTTTTTAAGATAAATTATTAACTATAAAATAAGAATAGACATTATGATTAAATGTGTAAGCCGTTGTATTGATTATCAGTAGTTGGAAGTTTTGAATAACTCTTTTTTGAAAATTTTCTTAATTTCAAGAAATTTTAAAATGAAAACAATGATAGAGAACTTGCTGATAAAAAAAAACAGGAAAAAGAACATCGCCTAAAAATAGATCCAGAATGTCGAAAATTTTCAAAACGCGAGTATCTATTTTGGTATCGCGGCAGCGGCAGCGACGTCTCAGCCGATCGGCCTACACCTTTAACTATGATTTTTTTTGTATATATTTTCATTGAATAAAAAACTTAAAGGTATAATACCAAGAATAGTTCAAATGTCCTACCTCAATTTTTATTTAAAGAAGATCTTACAATTGTTTTCCTAGAGAAAAACTACAATGAAACTTGCTTCTCAAAATGATTAAATATAAATCTTTTCGTAAGGATCTACTCCAAAGGGGAACAGCAGACTTCAAATATTCAAGAAACTTTAAGAGGGCTTCAAAATACAGTGTCTGGTGTTTCCGCCAACTCATTAACTGTTTCAGTACGAGTGATATCAATTTGCGTCCTTCAAATAGTTTCTATATATATGACCTATTGATTTCGAGCGTTTTATTGTTTGTTTTGCTCATCAACTGACAAAAAGAAAACGTTTAACCACCTCCAAAATCCGGTCAACTTTAGTAAAAATCTTCCAATCGGTCTCGTCAGTTATCGATCTTTCCTCCCTTCACAATCTTAATGACCTCGGAGCATCTCTCTGATAATCCTTTAAGATTTGAAACAATCACCATACAATTCAATTAATAAGAATATCAGTCAGTTTGATATCATGTTTCGAAAAAAAACACTAGAGAAACAAAATGATGTCTCGTATAACAGAATTCATTCAATAGTGACACCTGTAATAAAGATCTTGATGAGATGATAGTATTTCATAAATATTATTGAACGTATGTTTTGACATATAAGGTCATAAAGATTGCAAGTCGACCATCTCCAACACATGTACATCTTTTTTCTCTATCATTTTGCTATCATACACTAACATGATGATCTCTAGGTTTGGTTTTATTTGAGAAAGCTTCAAGTAAGTTCTCACTCTCTCTCTCCAATCAGAAACCATCACAGATCGTGATAGACGCTGTTAATATACGATGAAAGACTGTATATGAATAATATCTTGTTATAATATATGAGCTACTTTCTTATTCCATTTTTGGACGATTGAGTAAAAGGATAGAGAAGAAATGTATTCCACAATAAATTGAATAAAACAATTTCCGTATGATTTGCAAGAGCACCTAAATCATGTTTTACATTTTAATTCCTCAGGGAAAGATTGAAAATGACCGAATAAGATCAAAAATTCCCTATTGTTATATATATATAATGAAATATGAATTTATCGAAAAAATTACATTTTTCCTTTTATTTTTTTTATTGATACTTCACTTAATTTCAAGATATATGCGTATTTTAATTCTATAGGCATTATTCTTTACAATGAATATTTAATTCAGTCAGATGACCTAGTTCTTCTTTTTCTTTTCACATATTTAAAAAAAATGATATTTTTATCAGTCTGTAACATTCCATTTCATTCATATATTAAATATTTCGTTCGAATAAAAATATACATCGGACAGTCACAAATACTTTTTTTTCTACAAAAAAAAAACAATTATTTCATGTCTCCTGCGAAAAAAAAGGGTAAAAGTAAGTATTCGTAATCTTTAAGAAATATATTCAATTTCTATACGAAACAATAGTACTTATTGTTTTTGCTTCATAATCGAATAAGAATATAAATTATTGACCTTGTATTGTAATGAATATCAGCAAAACAATCTATCGTTTAACACTTTTAATAGAGAAATCACCTATTATAATTTTAACCATCTTGTCCAATGACACGAATAATCTCTTGTAGCTTTTTTCTATTAACAAAAATTTGATGAATTTTTTTTTTCTGTTTTACAACTTCAAAAAAAAAGAACAAGAAACAAACATAATTAAGAGATTTATGGTTGTCACGTATTTATCGAGCTACCCGACACCTACGTCACTATTAAGCAATAAAATATTGCGCTATCGATCGTTTATATTTATATGCGCGTGTCAATACTATATTGTTGTTGCCTTTATATATCTATAAATTGAAGAGTGTTGTTTGAACGACTATGAACTCGTTAATGAATTTTTTACAAAATGCACGTAAGTCTACGAATAAAATGATATTAGTTTTATAATCTACGTAGTGATGTAACCAACGATAGATCCGGTCGACCGATGTCCTTCCACCGATAGTTTTTGCTCTATCACCTGCAATTCCCTAGTTACACCTGAGACATATAGATTTTCGAAGAAACTCTAATGAAAAAGTATATTAGTTTAATTTTATTGAGGTCCTTCGGTGTAAAGTAATAATCGTTTTTTTTTCTTTTCTCTTGTGTTAAAAATGAAAGAGTATATATTTGTGTTTTTTTTTGAAGGGTTGATCGGTCATCGTCCTTGATAGAAAGATGTATGATTGAAGTTTCATGCTGCTTTTAAAAAGAATATATATATAAATTTTTTTTTCTATCTATCATGCGTAAATAATACTTCTCAATCGTTAAAAATGAATGAACCGATCTATCAATAGATTTCTGAGAAGACATTAGTTATGCTGAATGAGATCGAATTTTTCTTTTCTTTTTTTTTTGTTATTTTTATTGATTGCTTCCATTAAATATCGGATCACTAGCTGAAAGAAAGAATAAATTTGATCGTCATCTTAACGATCATCAAAGATTAATTCAGTCATTCATTTTTTTTTGGTGACTATTGAGATGATGCAATGAAAGTAACATTTTGAGAACTATAATGTTTCATTTATAGAGCTTCATATATTTATAATATTGAAATATAAAGATGAAAATAAGGTACTTATAGACGACTAATATATTGTAGAGATGGTAGAAGAAAAAAAAAAGATTTAAATTAAGTCAACTCGGAAAAAAAAATAATAAATAATCAATAGTATTTTTATGGTAGTAATAGTTGGATATAAACTCTCATCATTGAAAATAATTAAAATTAATGGTAAAACAGAATAGTTTTATATCAATGATTAACAATTGTAGTAAACGACAAAAGATTTATTAAGATTATATTTTTCGTGTAATGATTGAAAATTAAATGTAGAAAAGAAGGTCAGAATGATAAAATATATATGAAGATTAAGAATGAAGGATGTCTTGATGTTAATAACTGAAAAATATCAAATAATGCAATATGATTGTACAATATTTGTTATATGAGTCATAATAAAACAAGAAGAAATAGCACAAATGATAGCAAGTAATTAAAGAATGATAATGACAAAAAAATTTAGTTGACATTGCACATTCATATATTGAATTCTTTTCAATTAGAAAGAATATATATGTATTGTTTATATCATCGTTTATTTGTCATTCAAATAATAGTCTATATGACATAATCGAAATATATATAGCGCTGTTTATTAAATATAAACTACAGAACTATAATTAAAAATCTCAAACGTAATAACCATCTGATAATTATTATTCATGACTGAACATATATATATATATATATCATGAATTCTATTAGTGCTTTCGATGAACGTGAGAGTAAAATTATTATTAACGACAAATAATGATGTGTTTTAACTATATTATTTTAATATATATGTACATACATGTTATGAAATATTCAATCGATTTTATTGTAAAACTTGAATGTTTATTGAACATACATCTAAATATAAAGAAAATATGAATCTACAAAAGTTCTTTCATGTTATTGTCTTTGGTAAAGATAATGAACAAGTCTATGTTATGGTACTTTCGAATGTGTGAACATTACATAGACCGTAACTATGCGCTTGTCTATATTCTCGTAATAGATTTCAATAGTAATTAGTAATTATATTTGAAAAAAACTTAACTATATAAAATATTTGTCCATGAATATATACAATTGTTTATGTGATTTGTCAATAACATTTATGACTTCTTTTTTTGTTTTGTTTTTTATTTCACAAAGTAATCATATAACTTAATCTTTTATAGGAATTTTTAAAGATTAAAATCATAATCATTTGCATTACTTCAGTTCGCTTTTTTTTTCTTATTGTATATGAAAATTTATTTTCCATTATATTCTAATTGTGTAAGGTGTAGAGTATATGCACGAAATGAAGGACATATTTCGTCATTCATAGATAATTAGACGTTAGGTTATTCAATACGTAATATATAATCATTATTTTGTCACTAGTTCTTCTTTATATAGGTGACTAGACTTGTTTGCTGGAGCTATTTTTATCTATTTGTATGCATGTTATAGGTAAATTAATATTTGTCTAATCAAACAAAAAAAAAAACACAGAAATTCAGTATGCATTATCGACATACGAATTCATCATATTATTTAAATGATGCACCAACATCTAGTCTTTTAAAAGATAATAATGATTTCATATGGAATAATTCTAATGAACTCGATTTAATTCAAATGAAGAAATCATCTCTAATGACAACAACAACATACAATCAAAGGTCTTTTTTTCAAGTTTTACCCTGTATACGTCGTTTACATACAATATTCGATTCTATATGTCCAAATATATATCGTATACATTGTTCAGATTCATTAAGAATTTTAAATGAAATTATTTGTCTTACTGATGAATATTTTCATATAATCCCATCAACAAAAATAAAAATAAATGAATTACTTTTTAATGAATATTATTTTGATGATTTTATTTCAAAATTAAGACGTCCATCATTAATTCGTCAAAAAAATTCTTATTCATCAATAAAATCTGAATTATATTGTTTTGGTCAAGGTATTCATACAAATAATTTTAATAATCAACTTAATCAAACAATATTATTTTGTTTTGAATTAACAATAAATAATTTATCATTACCTATTGATATACGTATTTTAGATCCAAATGAAAAATTAGTCTCAAATGATATTAAATATATAAATACATACAATCAAGGTCATACAAAACTTTTTTCATGTAGTTATAAACCAATAATTAAAGCAGGAATTTATAATATATCATTTTATATTAATAATATTAAAGTACCACATTTACAATATACAGTTTTTATATATGATACAACTTCGAATAATAATTCTTATCAAAAAGAAGAACAATTATTAATATTTGAAAATATAATAGAAAAACCTCAACATGGTAAATAAAACATTTAATTCATATTTAATTTGAAAAAAATCATTATTATTGAGGTCTTTTTTTAGATTTAGTGTACTATAATGTACGAATAAAATCAACATTTTTTTTTCTATTCCTTACAAGTACTTGAGAGATGTGATTATTCGTTCTTCAAATCAAAACAGTACTTGACTTAAATAGTAGAGCATTTTTAAATTATCATTTCAGTTTCATAGACAGAAAAATGATGATAGAATAGAGAAAAATAGTTTTGTTATACCAGTAAATCATCTCCAATAAGTTTTATTCAAACGATATAACCAGAAAGAGAAGAAAAAAAAAGGACGACGGCATGCATGCACATATTATAGTTTAGTTGTAAGTCATTTTCTTCTTTAACAGATTTGACGTTAAACGTGCTATATTCACTATGACACATCCGCCGTATCGTTCGCAACCGTTCTCGTATTCACAATTAAGTAAGAAAATCATATTATCTATCCCAAAACATTAAAAAAATAAGAATCTAATTCAACTAATAATATTCATTTTGATTGAATTTTTTTGTTTGAATAGATATACCTCAATATGAATTAGAAGGTGATGGATGTTCAACTAAAATTATTGTTAATTCAATTGCACGTTTTCGTCTTCGAATAAAATCATCTGTAACTTCGTATTATAATAATCCAATAGTTGATTTATTTTCTTTAACAATTCTTGATCCATATGGTCATACAATAGTCGTTCAACGTCGTATAATTTCAATAGATTTAATTGAATTAACATATCAACCAATGTCTATTGGTGAACATCAATTAATAATATTGTTTAATAATAAAATTCATCGTCAATTAACAATTGATGTTATAAATGATGAATTAAATTATTTATCAAAATTAAAACCATTTGGACCTGGTCTTAAACATGCAATTGTTGGTTTACCAACTGAATTTTATGTTGATCTTAATCAAACAATAAATCATGATATACATTTTCGTTTAGAACCATCATATCATGCTGAAATTGATTATGAACAACAATTAGCAACTGTACGTTATATACCATTTGAAGATGGTAATTGTCCTATACATATTCTTGAAAATGATAAAGATATTTTACATTCACCATTTATTGCTCAAATTGAAAAAAATATAACATATCATGAAAAACCACGTATACGTGTTATTGGTTTATCAAAACAAATTGTACTTCATCGACCTGTTGAATTTCAAGTAAGATAAGATAATAATCTAAATAATATGTTATAATATAAAGCAAAGAATTAATTCTTTTTATCCCTATGGATATACTAACGGGGACAACTGTAGGTTTGATACTGAAAGTGTTGATATATATTTGAAATTAGACTAGAAATTAAGATGATAGCTATGAATGAGAGTCCATACTATTTATAAAACTTCACTAAAGGTTTCCAAGTTCAAGGAATCCGAAATTCTTGAGTTATATGTTTGAAATAGGCTTTCACTGATCGATTAGAAATTCGGTTTCTTTGAACCGAGAAACTTTTAGTGAAGTTTTATAAATAGTATGGACTCTTACTCGTTCCAATCACCTTAATCTCTAGTCTAAATTCAAATATGTATTAGTACTTTCAATACCACAAGGTGTTGGAGTTTCAAACCTGCACTTTCTCTCTTGGTATTTATAAAAAAACCAAATAATGGAATTTCAGCCGAAAAAGAACGAAGTATTGAATTTTCAGGAAATAGTCATTTGCCATAGATACATATCATAAAAATTGACTTCAGTTGAAAATTCAAAATCTTTCAATAAAGGAACATTGTTTTTGGATGAAAACTTTCAGGATGTTCTAAGGATCATGAGATCTATCTATGGGCAAAATTTCAAGTCGAGATTCTGTTATTTGATTTTTCAGTAAATACCTAAACTAGTCTTATCGAGACTTTCTCGTAGATTCAATATGAGGTCAAACGGTGAGTTACAGCTCGGATAATTTCCTCATTAGGAAACATTGTTAAAATAAGCTTTTTCTAATGTCTTTCTGTTGATTGAATCGTTTCTACATCATAGCGATAGACCTATCATAAGAGATAAGTGAAGGGAATGTTAGATCATCGCAAAGTAAACAATAGCAATCATAGTAGGAATAGTTTTTCGATGTCTGATCAATTTCGAAGGAAAGAGACAAACATTCCTGCTTTTGCCAGTATGCTGTTTATGTTAATTTTTCTATTCTATACGTGTCATATCTTTTTTGACGTATTTTTAGTCTTCACTAGAGATGCACGGAATGTAAACTTGAAGATTTTCCTGGACTGGGGCTCCGAGAAAAAAAAGTTCTTCCCATCGGAACTAAAGATTATAATTAAATATTCTACAGTTTTCAGCGAATTATCTTATAAATTATAACAAACAAAACATAGTTCAACAGAGATAACCGAAAAAAACTTGGTTCTGCACATCTCTAGTCCCTATACATTTACATCTTCATGAACCTTCAATTATTTTGCTATCTGTACTATTACTTTAGCAACATTACTCTCTTCCTATCAAAGATACGTATTACAACAAAAAACTTAAATCAATTCTAGAATAATTATCGAAGATAATGCTAATAACTTATTTTCTATTTAAAGGTCTTTGTTGATAATCCATTTGATGATTCAAATAATTTACTTCATATTGATATATTAACAGATGATGAACAATCTCCATCTGTATCAATACGTCGTCGTCATCGTTCTTCATATCTATGTTCATTTATACCTGTTACATTAGGTAAACATTTAATATCAATTGATTATGCTAGTATTGTTGCTGAAAATAATCCATTTTATTGTCAATCAATACAAGATAAAGATATTTTATTAACTGGTCCAGCTATAAATAATCAATGTTTAACATTAAATCAACCGACACATTTTTGTTTTACATTAAAAGATTTTTTAACAAAAAATTTTAATGATAAAAATTCAACATATGAAAGTGGTTATAGTTCAAATGATGATATATCATCAAAATCATCTTTATCTTCATCATCATCAACAGATATTCAAACATCAACACACGATGATGATGATGATAATAATAATAATAATTATCATGTTAGAATAACTGATGGACATGGAACTATTAAACCAAATATTCTTGTTAAAGAAATTTTCGAAAAACAAAATGAGAATATTGTACGTGTTGATTTTACACCGGATGAACAAATTTTGTATATCAATATATCATGTACTTGGTAAATGTCTCGTAGATTATGAATATTATATTATACAATACGGAAAATAAAATAAATAGATATGAAATCATTGAATATTAAGAAAAAATTACAAAAATGAATCATTTTTATTATCAATTGATAGTCTTCTGTAACAAGGTCGAGTACTTGGCATCCGGCCCGGCAATAGATGAGATCTCAATATTTTTATTGTTCCAAACAGCTATTTATATAAAAATATAGGAATGAAAATCCAAGCAATTTTATTGTACTTGAGAACAAGTCACAGAAGTGAAAAGTGAAAGTGTTTTACAAAGAGAATTCATTTTTAATGAAAATTCATCTACAGATAATGAGGAATCATATGACAAAGTAATTGAATACATGGAGAGGAAAAGCATTCATGTATGTATCGACAATTATGACTTTTGATACCAACATTGTGTTTCATTACAGTATTATCAGTAACAAGCAAACCTACACTTAGCGAAATTGATCGAATTTTAGAAGCAGAAAGATACCAAGTGAATTTTGAATCAGATGCTTTTTTGTGGAATTTCAGATGATCTCTTTTTTTTTGGTAAGTATCTGTCAGATGTCGATTAGTTTCGGTCCAGGTTTGGATACGAAAAATCGTACAGGTGTAGAACACTAATAATTAATCAATCGTTATTTAGTATTGTTTTGCATCAAACGTATAATTTTTTATATCGTTTTCATAAACTACGAAACATAATATGGATATGTAACTTTCGTTTCGTGAAAGCAGTTGTCTTTTGCTCAGAAGTAACTGCATATTACTTCGAAAACCACTTAAGAGGAACCCTTTGTCCACATATTTTTGAAGAAATTTTTTGGTAAGAAAATATCTTGTACCATACATTATCCGATGTAGTTTTCGAATATATCATTGATTTTCAATAGAAATGCTTTGGCATTCTGAAAAGCCAAGACTGAAAAACTTGCTGTATGATTCAGGAGCGTTTAGACTATTCTGATTAGTGCTTTCCGTGACTTAGAGTCATGGATACTAATATCTGTGTCTCTATTGATTGCATTAGTTTTTCTATAAAACAAATAAATTTCATATTCTTTACTTATTGCGATGATTTAAAATTTTCCTAAAACAAATTAAAATTGAAAGTGAAGATCAGATGAAATTTTAAAACATAGCAAGCACAAAACATCATAAAAGAATATGTCTTGTAATAAATACAGTTAAATGTAAGGGTGTCCGCTTAGCATTAGCATTGCATTATTTAATGCAAATTTTAATACTTTTGTATTAGAATTAAAAAATTAACTTAATGCTCTTATGTTAGAATTAAAAAAATTTATTTAATACTTTGGCATTAGTATTAGAAAAGTATTAGTCTAATATTAAAGTCTATAGCTCCCGAAAACAGAACAAAATTGCTCTATTATGATAGTTTTTTTCCCAAAACAGAACACTTTTGTTCCATTATAGGAAGCTGTTCTAAAAAAAAAGCAAAAGTGTTCTGTTTTAGGAAAAGAATTACCATAACGGAACAATTTTGTTCTATTCTCGAGGACTACAGGAATTAGTATTAGACTAATACTAATGCCAAAGTATTAAATTGATTTTTTATTTCTAACACAAGAGCATTAAGCTAAATTTTTAACCTAATGCAAAAGTATTAGCATTTTCTTAATACTAATGCTAAGCCGACACCCCTAGTTAAACGAAAACACACCTATTCGACTGAATTGAATCCAATTAATTAAGAACATAGTTTTCTTCTTGATTAATCTCATCATTTTTATATGTTTTTGTCTTTATCTAACTTTCATCACAATGAACATCGTTCAAGGAAAGAGATCATGACCAAAAAACTTGGTCACATCGGACATTAGTGGTGATACAAGACAAAGAATAGAATATTCTAACACGATACATTGACATTCCAAAGCGTGTATTCGTTTTACTGAGCTTAGTCATTTTGAAAATTAGTTAAGAAGAAACTTTTATATTTATTTTTTCAGAAAGGTTTCTTCAATCATCAATATCAGACGATACTTAGATTCAGAATATCTACTAGGCGTGCCTACCAGATGGCTAAATTTTGATAAAAAATTGATTTTCCCATCAATACTAGTGTTGCCAGGGCAATTTTTAAATTCCGGTTGTTCCACTGTACTTAAAATTCGTAACAAAATTTTTTTTGCCATGAGATAGAGTGCGTCTCAAAGTATATTTATTACTATTTGAATCAATTTAGGGATGACTTTCATTTTCTTTTCACCTACTGTCTGCCGAACTCAGTGTTTTATCCAGATTTTCTCTTCGGGAAGGCCTAACCCGATCTTTGAAGGGCCGCCATCCTCTCGGTCCTCACGCTGAATAAACCACTGACCTGATTTCGTATTGGGCGAGAAACATAGACATGCATGACTATGAATGAGATCCTAGAATACAATGAAAAACAAAAAGATTTTGTTTATTTTATTTCTTAGCCTGGACAAACTTTGAAGATGTTGATATGTAACAAAAGATATTTCATATCCAAGATCACCTTCAGATTCAATGTAATTATTAACTCATTACTCTTCGTTTCATTCTTAACGATGAGTTGAAGAATTAGCGAAAGTACAACTATTTATTTAATTTCCAATATATGAACTAGAAATGTCGTAGTAGATTCATCTTAATGGAACTGATTTTTATTTTTTTTGAATTTATAATAAAAAAAGAAATTAAAGAATTAAAAGATATTCTGTCTTAGAAATCTTTTTTTTTTAATTGAAGCATAATCAAATTCTGAATAATATTAGTATTTTTTCTTAAATGATTTCCATTTATATGTTTCAATCAAAAGAAATGATATGTATGAATTTTTCTTGAGTTGCCTAGATGTTGTAAATTTTATAGAGAAAAATGGAATAATATTCTTCTTGTTCAGAATAAAAATTACATCCACATATAACTTTCTAATATTATCAGTCGAATTCGTCTCGTTAGTTAATGAAAGAATGAGAAAGAGAACACAAAATGTTACACTTTCCTGTGTCAATTAATAAGTTTATGTTAGAAACAATTACATCAATTAGTGTTTTTGATCACATCGAATAAATTGTTATAAGTTTGTTTTATTGATTGCAAACAATTTTCTCAAATTTTAATTACTTATTTTGATATATATGTCGATACAACTATAAGATAGTTAACAATTTTTATTTCAAATATATTATACAAAATATATTCAACTATCACATATTCTTAGTCACACTATATACACATTATGAAGTAAGTAATCTTGTTTTGTAGAGAAGATTGTTGTATTGAGTATTGTTATTTCTCTCTCTTATTATAGTTCTACTACATTTGAACCGCATTTAACATCAACACCAAAAAAAGTTGATACAACTCTTATTCTTCCAAATTTATGTTCTACACCACGACCAGCTCATATTCGTTGGTCTTTATCGAAATATACTCCTCGTCCTGTTGATTCATCTACTCCGAATACAAGAAAAATAAAAAAATCTGCTATTCCTAATCTTCATCATTTAATTTATCCATTTACAATAACGAACAAACAAACAATGAAAATTTGGGTGTTATAAATTCTTATTTTTATCTAGTTGTTTTTAGTTAATTAAATTATTTATTCTTTTTGTTAGACATTCTGAAATAAAATAAATTATTATATATATTAAATAAATTTGTCTTTGTAAACGAAGTGCACAAATAACACAGGACAATCCATGATTGTAGAAAAAAACGAGTATTGAATGCATTGTATATGAATGACTGATCTTACTTTCTGAGTTTTAAAGTTGTTTATATAACAGTTGTTGGAAAAAGTTTACGATAGATATATGTTGTCATTAAACTGGAACGAATCAATTTATATAAAATGTATCGATTATTATGTTAGTGTTTGATAAGATATGTGGTAATTTTTTTCAGATGATTCATAGAGCTATTCATATTGTTCAGAGTAAATATGTATATGAGTTTATTTTTGAAAATTATTCTTGAGTTGATAATAGAAGCAAGCTAAATTTTAATCATTTTGATTGCATTGTTTTTTAGCTGTTCTTTTACTTTTAAAGATAAAATTGATTATATTGATTTACATTTATAGATGTAAAACGATCGACTAAGTCATCGCCACCAGGAGATAAAAATAGATATTAGATTTTTTGAAAAATTTTGACATCTAGAATTAATTTGTTCTTGTCTATTTCCTTAACATCGTGTTCTTTACTATCTTTTTTCCCTTTGTTATTTTTGAAAATATTGCAGAAGTAAGAAAATTTTAAAAAAAACAAGCATCGATTTATATTTCTTCTTTCGTTTGCCGATCTAAGCATGGCTTAACATAATAAGTCATATCAAAAGTTCTATCAGACTTAAATGGACTCATCATAGATTGATGATAAATTGTGGAAAATTATAATTGTTCTCATACATGATAATTAAAGCGATATAGAAGCATGTGCTTATATAGGTGTACACTGTTTTACATATGCTGTCATGTCATTTTACGAGAGAACATACGTCGCCATTGAAGAAGTTTTCACCGGTTTTTCCGATATCAAAGAAATGGATGTGAAATAATTTTCTGTCAAGTTGGAAGTGAACTAACTTTAGTCTACTGTTTGACAACATTTCTAACACGAATATTTTCAACATGTTACGGTTATTCCTTTATTTTCTCGACTAAATTGATGTTTAGTTTCGAAATATAGTCAAATATTGTTATAGAAAGTGTAAAGATTTATATACTTAGGAATTGCAAGATTGGTATAATTAATAACATTTTTGAACTACAAACATTGCTCTTCTCATTTATATCACTAACTTTTGATTGGCTTTCTTTGGATTGATCGTTCGGGAGCATACAGAATGTTTCAAAAGTTTAAATTTGCCTCCAATAGATATACAAATGATCGAAAAAGTGAATTGTAGTTCAATTTTAGCAAAGTACTCCAAAAAAGCATTCGAGTGTGATCTGCTACTTAGCAATGATAAGTGAGATCAGTAAGATGTACTTATTATAGATCGTCAAAGATTCTCTAGTGCGATGGCTGTGAAATATTTCTTTATAATTCGATATAAAAGCAATGTGAAAAACGGCACTCGGAACGAACATTATTTATCAGTGTATTTTTTCGTTATATGATGCATTGTGAATGATGATTCTAATAGAAGTCGTTGTTGAGTTGTTTGTACATCATTTTATACAACAAGGATGACGAGATTTGTTTCTAAATACAAGATAAATTATTCACGATTATTCAAAGGCTGGATCTTGTTTCTTTTTGACATATGGATACATATCAGTTTACCAATAAATTTCAACAACGATCCAATATTGATCATCGTCAGAAATATTTTTATCAAGAACCTTCGAGCACAACAACGATTCAATGGTAATGAATTTCGTAATCTAAATAGTTTAATTTACGATTCATCGACTCATTTGAATGAATGGCCAACAATGAGACGATTATATATTTAAGAGAATATATGTGATGCTGAAACTATTCATTTCAAATGTACAAATAATTATAATTTTCACAATAAAGCAAAAGAAACTTTATTTTAAATTAAGATAGATCAATCCAAAACCTAAATATATAATTCATCAGTTCTTCATCTATATAAATATTAATCAAGTGAAGAATTACATATATATGTTTATGTAGGTGAACAAGAAAGTTATGATGAGTCATTTATAAAAAACGTTCGGGGAAAAAAGAACCGAAGGTCAGCAGATATCGAATGTTTTCAGACACAAGGGAGACTGAGGTCTAGACGTATCTAGACGCTCTCACACCTGTCATGCGGTTTTGGTTGTTTTCAAGCATGTCTAACACAATGTTCAAGTTAATTTGATTTTCAGAAGCATTTTTAATAGAGTATCTCATCAGAATTCTATGAAATTTAATCTACGAATAAATGATGCATATATCACAAGTCAGTTTTCTATATAGTAGCAAAGAATAGAGCAGTATGCAAAACAACGCACTTTTAACAATGATATTATTTGGCATGCTTAGAATTAGAGAATCAATTCTTTTTTTATTGATCGTGTTTTTATAGCATTGAATGTTCTCTAATAAGTATGCTCTTTATCATCAACCATTGATTATAATTTTCGTCAAGCAAATGTTTCTTTACCTATTTGTTCGCATTGATATGAACATTATTATATGTTGTCGTACCATTGCTTATAAATAACATTAGATGTTTTTCTTTTTTCCTTTTATCCTAAGCGTATTAAAATTTATTCGTTTTCAAAGTATACTCAGAAAGAAGGATCTAATAATTGAATCTCGTCAAATCCTGGTAGAAGAACTACTGACTTCAATCAGATCCTACGTCTCAGAGAAGCCAGTTGGAATGCTTAGAATTCAACAGAATGTAATGAAGATAAGCTGAACCTGCATACGTAATGTATTTCTTTAGTGTTGCGTCTAAAAACCTATTGCCAGTTGAATGTTCAGAAATAGGCCACTTAATCTAAATTAGACGTTTCCAGATAGAGAGAATAGTAAAAAAAAAAAGTAATTTTTTATGGGACGTTCCTAATGTACGATCCCCTAATCAGTCATTTTATTCATACCAACAGCAATGTATTTGGGTGAAGAAGATGCTTTACTAATAGAGTTGAGTGTTGTGATAATGAAAATATCATAAACAGATAACTTTTATATAAAACTTCTTTGATAGGATGATCTGAAGTGTATTCTTTCGCAGAAACGTTTTTTCGATCGCCTTTATTCGTAACGACTATTATAAGCGTTATAAAAAGAAAATAATACAAGGTTGTTTAGGTAATAAATGCTATACAAAACGTTTCTATAGTTTGTAATAAAACCAAAAGAGTTTCGTCTTGCAAACCATGAAAATTATGAATTTGAATATAATTGCAATGGTTCATCTGGAGCAAATAATACTTTGTGTTGGCTCAACAATACTGAAAAGAAGTATATAATGATCAAATGACTCGTGAATGCATTAGCAAAAAAAAGAAGTATTCAATATCACGAATTACCGATAACATTTTTTGATTGTGCAATGGAAGTTTTCGGTGTGTGTAGAATAATAATTTTCAAAAATCCGATGCAGAATTTCGTTTGCAAAGACACAAAAATTTTCATTGAATCTTACACCACAATTGATCTCATTGTTTTCTTTATATAGTTCATGGTATTCATGGTTGTAAGACATTCACCGTATTTCATTTGAGGCGTTTTTCTCTGCTGTAAAAGAAGTATTTGAAAATTCTTCTAAAACCGCTCGTTAACCAAAACCATAGCCATTGGATGTAGTGCAATATGGTTTTTAAGTTTTAACGCACCCATATGCAATTAATAATTTTTTTATTAGTATTGGCCTTCAATATTTAAAAATTATTTACTGCTTAGAAATTTTTTCTCTTTTTTTTCTTGGAGTAATTTATAATGTTTGAAAGTGTTATATACATCTGAAATAAAAGCAAAGATCTTTTTGAAAAATGTTAATCAAATACGTTATTTCGTAGCATCAATAATAATAAGTTCTAACAATTAGAGTATCACATCGTAGAAATTATGCATGACAAAAATCTGATATATTTTTTCTTGATATCATAGAAAACTTCATTCTCATAGGTCAAGAGGAAAAAACATAGGCGAGAATTCATGTTAGATCTTGTCGATAAGTCTAATGATGTCACGCGATACACATTTATTATAGTTTTTGCACCACGTGGTGCTCAGAGCAAAAGAAGAAAAAGGCAACTGTTTCTAGTAGAAAGTTTTTGAAGATAATTTGATTGTAAGAGCAGCAACTAATCGTTTTACTACGTGAAAATAAGTGATCATTAACGATGAAATTTGAAAACAATACAATCGTTATGTTATTCGCTGACCCTCCGTCCTCTATAATGATATTTTAGACTATAACTAGTAGTTATATTCTATTTATTTAATGAACGAATGAAAAATAAAAATTTAAACTAAATAGCCAGTAGAAGGAGGAAAATTACCTCTATGTTGTACATATTATATTCATGTAGCAGAGAATGAAACTGAATGAAAACTACGAAGAAAAAATAAACATCATCAGATTAAAAGAAAAGTGATAAAATTTGAAAATTATCGAATCAACAGTTTCAAAAAAAAATACATGTGACTGTTTATACTTCAATATGAATATTTCTCATTTTCTAATTCATAAAATAAGCAATAGTGTCAAACATGAAAGTTAAATTCAATTAATGATGACCTTTTCAGATATTCAACTATTCAGCTCGGATATTTAGATATCAGAGAATGTCACAAGGTGCGTATCCTGCACATGCAGGAACAGAGCAATCCTTTTTATTAGGACGCAGGACCTGCAGGATAATATTTGAGCCCTGCAGGACATTCCAGTTACTTCATGGATCATGATCCAATGAAGTTCTAGTTTATAAGTGAAATTTGTCGTGATTTCCAATTATTATCAATAGTAGCCAGAAGAGTATATGCCATATCAGCAACAACTGGTTCAGTAGAAAGATTGGGCATGTTCGGGTCAAATGATCACTTTCACCGAGAAACTAACGAACTTAAAATATGGCGTTCCA